ATATCAAATGGTTATCCGGTATAGAATATCAATTGCAGAGTCCTCACATATCTAGAAATTTAAAATTACAATTTATCATTGCACCTGCATGGTAGGAAATTATCGTCCGACTAAATCAGCTGACACGTTGCAAGGTATCCCATCTACACGCCACACTACATCATTCCCGCTGTGTTGCAACCCTAGATAAAACCAACGGGGAAATGTATCACTCGGCTAACGAAAGATGTATTTCATATAAACTTTTTGGCCGAGTGTTATAGGTTACCGCTGGATGTGAACTGATTAATAGTAATCCGGGAAACATGATTTATTTATTAGTAGATATCGGTATTGAAGTAGTTTTCAGTCAATGCGAGTACTCTTAGATCTGAAATAATTGTCTTTGGTTTCTATGTCTTTAATAATCGTTGGATACCATTTTTCGTTGATTTCGTGGTTATAGATGAACAACAAATTAACATTACAAGCTGACTATTGCAATCCATACTAAAACCACGAAATCAAGTGTTTGTTTTTATGTTTTGCTGCTACATCTCTGCCTTAATTTAGGGTAGGGTTAAAAGCTCACAAACATATTTGATTCCACCCAGTTATATACGCGCCTGTCCCAAGTCATGAGCCTGAGTTAAAACAAATTTAATCTCACTTTTCGTTTTTTTTATTTTACCTAATGATTGTTACACCAGATTTTTTTTTGTGGTATCATACGATTTTTCTTGAAAAACATACAAAAAGAAAAGCTTAGTGTACATCATAAATTATTCAAACTTACAAATATTTTATGAATAAACTATGTTCTTGAAATGCGTAGTGGAATAAAAAGGAATTATGCGGGGTCCTCTGGAATTTACAACAATCCTCTGTCCAGTTATCAGCTTATTCTTTTCTGCTACTATCCAGACTATGGATGAAACATATAATGAGGTGCTTACTTTGAATGTGTTACATATTCTTTTATGGTCTGCTTTGTCTTGTATTTGCATTGCTATTCTGCGATTCGAATTTGTGACAATGTTAATGTTAACGCGTATAATGACAACCTTTTTGGTTTGAGCATTATCATTACACTTAACTAATATACTTATTTATGCCATGTATATGTTTGCAATTTTGTCTATGTTTTTTTTTACATTTTGATGAGTGCCACAGGTAAGATTAGTTATATAGCTAACTGTGTAACCATCTTAAAATAAAGTTTTGTTGTTGTTGTTGTTCACAATTTTTTAAATATTTAGAAAAATGTACATTTATTAGTTAATTTTAAAATAGCTAAAATTTTAAAAAGAACATAATCATTTCTCTTGGCTGTTTAATCTTTGCAATTATATTAGTGTCTTCAAAAAACTTGGGTCGTTAAACCTTCGTGCGAAATAAAATGTTCAGTTCAGCAAATAACTGGTAGAGAGATATAATACTGTGTGACTTATATCTATTTTTGTTTTTTTCCGAAATGAATCTGTTGTATCAATAACAAATTTTATTTGATTTCAATTTTCTGCAGCCATCGTTATATTGAGTTAAGTTTTATATTATATATTATTTTATCATTTGTTGATGATATTATAATACAAATATGGAAAGAAAGAAACTATAAATAACGAACTTGATAAAGACAAACTGAGATGTACGAATCGCAATTTCGTTTGTCATAAATATTGTCATGACTACTAATGGTAAGGGATTTCATTTTGATTTGAATAGTGAACAAAGATGTGTAATTAAGTCTTTTGCCTTTTGTACATGATTTAATACAGTAATAACAAGATTCGTGCAACGAAGAACAGTATTTTGTTATTTAAACTTTTCTGTTTCAAACAGGTCGTTGATAAAACAAAGAATCCACAAATTTAAAAAACTGTGTAAATATTCGACCAAAGATCGTATTCAGAGACAAAGAGGCTGTGAAAAGTCTGAAGTCCCTCACGACACATATGTTGTTGTTCCTGCGGGCAAAGCTTCAAACAATATTGTGTTTGTATGTAAATCAAAACTACGAGTGTCTTATCAAAGAATTGGGAATACAAAAACACTCGGGTAATCCCACGTACAAACCATAGCCTTTGAAAAAGATGAAATCTCTTGAAAATTTAAAATTTTGGTCATTTTCTAAAATTAACTCTATAAAACCTTCGATTTTTCCACCCTTTACACAACCATACCACATGCAAAATTAAACCTCGTCTTATAGAAATAATCCGCAATGCTTTCCTTCATAAAATGGTACTATACGCTACAATGTTCTTGTTTTCGGATATAATTCTGCATATTTTGTTAAAAATTAGCCCGAAAATTAAATATGCGAATAACAAGTGATCCGTATGCTGGAGTTTCTCATGATCATTAACAACATATGTTGAATTTTGGGGTCGAATTTTGAAGCAGATTTTTTTCGGCATTCCAATGGGAAACAAATGTAAACCTCTCCTGGCTGACATTTTCTTATTTTCATTTGAGTCGGAGTTCTTTCAGACACTTGTCTAAAACAAGAAGATCAGAGAAGCTAGATTTTTTTAATTTCACATGCAGGTATATTGATGATGTTTTTTCCATTTACAATCCAAACTTTCCTGATTGGGTCCATTATTAAATTTGCCTAAACTAGAGAGTAAAGAAACTACAGATGCATTTTTCCTAGACATTAACCTCGAATTTGACAACTGCAGTCATCTCAGTACCAGAATCTACGACAAAAGAGAAAATTTCAATTTTGAAAGATATATTTTCCTCACCTTAGCAGCAATACTACAACTTCATCCGTGTTACAACTCATACGATATTCAAGAGCTTGCAGCTGCAACTCAGACTTTGTAAAACTTCATCGGTGTCTGACAAAATAATTGATTAGCCAGTGTTTTGTCAAAGAACGTCTCGTCCTTTTCCTCAAAAGAGTTCATCGAAAAGTGCAAAGACCTAATAGATAAATATTCAGTGTCTACTTCACAAACAAAACAAGATTATCATGAGTTGTGGATTCTAGGTGCCGATTAATGTATCTTTTTATTTTACTTTTTTAGTTTCACCGTTAGTTGTCTTCGTGCTATTATTTTTGTTTTGGTCGTATGACTTTTGACGTGACTCGGTATTAATGCATCCAGTCATCGGGTTTTTTTCCTTTTTATATTTGGGCAATCCTGGTGCAGATGGGTCCTAATGTCCGACTTGGACACACGTAGTTTTACAGTGTTATGTCTATTTTGTATACTCTTTAATTTATATTAACTTAATTTCTAATTTATCGTAAAAGTATATACGATAAAGATTATGTACTTTCAACGACGAAAACTTTTTTGTGACGTCACTGATGAGTCTTTTTATGATGAAATGCGCGTCTGGTATACAAAATTTTAATACTGGCATCTATGATGATCTTATCTACTACACCTTTTTTGTTGGTTTTGTTTGAATTAATTTGTATGTGTGTTTGAATTTTTTAGGCAATTGTGTTGTAAGTATGTGATGTAACATGTGTTTACAAAGTTTTGACCGCTGGATCCCTCAACCAATTATGTCTGTTTGTGTTGCTTATCCAATTTGTTGTCAATATATCGGAACTATGAACAACTGTCATACAAGAGGGAGGTTTAGCTAGCTATAAAACAAGGTTAAACCCACCATTTACTTCGGAAAATTACTGTACTAAGTCAGTAATAAGGCAGTTTTTTTTTCACTTGTGTCGTTGATTGATAGCCTTTAATATGTCAGTTTTATGGAATTCCCCTTTTTAAATTTTCCTTGGAGTTCGGTATTTTTCTGATACTTTTTTTAATAAAAAGTAAAATAACAAAAATACCGACTTCAAAGAAAATTCAAAATGGAAAGTACCTTATCAAATGGCAAAATCTAAAGCTCAAACTCATCAAACGAATGGAAAACAACTGTCATATTCCTGAATTTAATTTCTCGAATCATGTCTTTCACTGGGAAAGATCGTCAATACAAACGTCCTTATGACGTCATTTTCCAGATAGAAGGCGCGCCTGTATCCCTGCACTATTAAAGTCTGTAGCATTTTCAGGATCATAATTCTGCATGATAGTTTAGAAATAATCTATGTTCCGTAAGTACGTAATCTCAAATCCTGTGAAGGGAGGGTGACCATCGAATAAGATTTTAATTTCCCGAATATTTTTGCAGTATAGCATCAAACTTTTTATCCCGTTCGCTCAACATCTATTGGAAGTGACGATGCCTACATTATTGTCACGTGGTGATGGATGTCACATAACATATTCAACTAACTACCGTATCTTGGAACTGGCGTATAGTTATATTACCATACAAGATTTTGTGATGTAGACAAATCCTGCCTTAACATGATGAAATTGACTTAAAATGTTCAAAAATATGCAGATAGGTCTTATTTTAACTTCATTAGTTAACTAATTTCGTTTGGGTTAAATTGGAATGATAACAGATAAAAAATACTGTAAAATTATAATTTCTACCAAGAAAGAAAGTATTTACAAAAATATAGAACTCCAAGGTAAATTGAAATTAGTCCATAAAAACTGACAAAATCACACGTTAGACTATATCAACCAATGAAACGAACGGAAAACGCAAATGATAAAATGAAAAAGAAGACCCACCAGCAATTTAAAGTTTGCGCTTTGAAAGTCAATGATTTTCAGATATTTCGGCCTCTTATAGCGTTAAGTTAGTAACTAATAATAAACGAATACATTGCAAAATCACTTCTTAAAATATTGCAAAAAAAAAAACCATTCAAATATTTCAGTGTTATTGTCATAAAATGCGTAATAAGTGGACCATGGTAACGCAAACATCGACTTCCCTCACAAAATCTTATCACACACTATAGATGACATATGAACTTAGTGTTAAACACACCTCTCTATATTTGTTATCGATTATTATTTACCTGTTCAGTTACGTAATTGAGATATTGACATTGATTACCTTTAGAATATTCTATTCTATAAATATCGTAAATTGATTTTCAGAAAATACTGTCGATCATGCGCACAGAGCTTTGTAACATCTACTAAGTGAGCGCCATGACTGAAAATTCTATATGGAAGCAAGTCTTACACCTTCTAATGATATGATGCGGCATCTTGTTGTATGTGTCTGGTAAATTACAATAATTTAAGATCCCCGGTAATTTGTCATTTTTCTGTCTCCGAACATATGAATGAATTTCAAGCTTTCATCTTGTTCATATTAAAGGTTAAAGTACAACTCTTTGTATCGCGATAAATTTCATTCCAAAAACAAAACCATTTTGGGAATAGTTCCTGTAAGCAGGATAAAGTGCAGCAGTCACACCTTAAAATGTATATCATGTCAATATATATATATAACAAAAAGAAGATGTGGTATGATTGCCAATGAGACAACTCTCCACAAGAGACCAAATGACACAGAAATTAGCAACTATAGGTCACCGTACGGCCTTCAACAAAGGCAAAACCCATACCGCATAGTCAGCCATAAAAGGACCGGAAATGACAAATGTAAAACAATTCAAACGAGAAAACTAACTGCCTAAGTTATGTACAAAATAATGAACAAAAAACAAATGTGTAACACAGCAACAAACATCAACCACTGAATTACAGGCTCCTGACTTGGTACAGGCACATACAGAATGTGACGGGGTTTAAACATGTTAGCGGGCGCTCAACCCTCCCCTTATCCTTGAACTGTGGTGCCACAGAACAATCCAAGAACTGTACAAAACAAAAATCAAACAATACATATGATCAACAACAACAAAGAACAACCACTCAAATACAGGCTCCTGACTTGGGAACGGAACATATAGAATGTGGCGGGGTTCAACATATAAGCGGGCGCCCAACCCTTCCCCTAAGCTGGAACAGTAGGGTAACAGTACAACTTAAGAACAAACTATACAGATCAGTTGAAAAAGGCTTAACTCATCAGATGGATACAAATAGAAATACATCTAACAAAAACACAGAGTAGACGTGGAACGGTACTCGTAAATTCCAAAACAAAAAGATACTAAGTACAGATCTGAGAGTACTCACAGTTACTGACAGCTAGTTCAAAGCCAATCATGTATCTAACACTTAATTATCAATACTTCTGAAATAAAATATTAAGTATACTGATTTCATCATATTGTGATTTGAGTCGGCGTATTGATATGCATCAGAACAAAACGACTAACTCTGTGCTTTCATAGAACATAAATGATGCGGCGGGTGTGAACATGTTTGTGAGTGTTCGACCCTTCAATTACAAGGCACAGTAGCGCGACTAAACATTATCAGAGCAAACTGTAAAAAGTAAAATAACAAAAAAAGACGAAGGAAAATTCAAAACGGTAGGTTCCTTATCAAATGGCAAATTCAAAAGCTCAACACATCATACTTATGGAACATACCTATATTCCAGGAGAAGAAGTTTTTAAAATTAAATAGCAAGATATGTTATGTATGCATATAGCTATTGAAAAAGAATCATTTTTTTTTAAATTGATGAGTTTTGATAATAAGTTTTTTTTAAAAGACGAATGAGTTTGTATTGATATTTTAATTCAATGGCTCTATAAACAACATCCCAGTAATTATTATAATGTGGTATCCCGTTTGTAATCAGGTCTGTACAGGTATCGTCACACTTCCAAAAGAGAGTTATGTATTTCAGAAAGAATTTATTAAAGGTTGAATCAATACTTAACGAATTATTCTTATGCATCAGGACATTCACATCCCTTTGAATCAAACACTTAACTGTAAATATATATCTTGAACGCTTGGCAGCTTTCTTAATTATGCGTTTTTATTATGCATTCCTACTTCTTTATAAAAAAAAATGCATTTGTAAATGCAGTTAAACCTTCACCTTTGAATGTTTTCTTTGTTGAAATAGTTATTTGTTTTTATAGTGATTAAGATTATAACATAATGTTGACTGCTGTACCCCAATTTTTGACATATTTACCTATTATGTCTGTTTGTTTTGCTCACACATTGTTGTCAACATAATGAACATTCTATGCGACTGGCATACACGTGAGAGGTTTAGCTAGCTTTAAACCAGGTTTAATCCACCATTTTCTACACGAGGAAATGCCTATACCACGTCAGGAATATGACTGTTGTTTTCCATTCGTTTGATGTGTTTGAGCTTTTGATTTTGCTATTTGATAAAAGACTTTCCGTTTTGAATATTCCGTGTAGTTCGGTATTTTTTATATTTTACTTTTCACCATAAAATTTACTTTAGTAACGCTTTTTGTGTAAATACTTTGTAGGGTCTTTTGATGAGCTAGATATGGCATCTAAAGATAATGTCAATCGTTCAGTTGGTGATGGACTATCACCAGAAGAATTTCTTCCAGATCCTCCATCTGAAGACTGGGAATTAAACATACTTCTAGATGACATTGCTCAGGGAATTCCTGAAGAAGATCTGAAACGATTAAAATCATATTGTATAGGTAAAAAAGAAACAAAATAGATTAACATTGTAAGAAAGTTTCTTTCAATTTCCTAGAAAAGCATGGAGCATATGCATGATATGATAGGATATTTTCTGATAATCAACAACCAAACGACTTTTTGATTATTTCAATAAGGGTTATGTAAGGGTTTTGTTATATGTGTAGAATTCTCAATCTCCTTTTATTCGATCATGTAGGATATTCGCTGTACTAATTGCGGCAGTTCTCATGTTGAAGTATGTTAAAGTAAAACTTTAAGAATTCTCTTAAAATGATTTTTAATTTAGTCGATTTGTTTTACCATCTAACCTGTGTGTTATTTCAATTATTCTACATTATTACTCGTTTAGGTGGACCTGGTAAACGAACTCTTTCGGAAATGAAAGATGCGATAGATCTTTTCACACATTTACGACAGACTCGTCGTCTAACCAAAGACAACCTCATTGTACTGCAATCGATGCTGTTTCACTTACACAGAAGAGACCTTCAAAAAAAGGTTGTTGAATATGCAAGAAGGCTTGGAAATGTGTTGCATTTCTATACCCCTTCCGACCAACCAGGTATTTGTGTCTCATATTTAATAAATGCAATTGTTTTTAGACTGGTGACTACATGACGGTATTCTTCATTTGAGTGTTTGACATTTTCTACTTCTGTGTATAGGTTATATCTATTTAATAAACATATTTTAATGTTCCACATGTGAAATAAATATGCTTAAAACGGTTAATGCAAAATAACATTATACATTTCTTGCAAATTTTGGAAAACAGTGTCCTTGTCATAAATAGGAACCATTTGTAAATGTTTTGTTTGTTCTTGGATAATAAAATAAAAGTTAAGGAAAGGAATTCAAGATTCCGTTATACTGCAATACGTCTTGAATGAAACCCTTCTTATTTTTTAGGACTAGCTGTATGCATCAGAAAATATTCGCTTCATTCGTGTTTTCTTATGAGTAGAATTTATAAAAAAAAACCGTACAGTTTCAATTTTTCAAATCCTTTACATAAAATGTGAGTACTTTGTTTTCAGAAAACGGTTACCAACATTTAACAATCCATGTAGAAGGAACAGTCAATTTTGACAGGATCAAATTAGAGAAACTAAGAGATGGAGTTGCTAGACTTCTATGCATACCTCCTCAATTTGTTGTTGTAAATGGTATTGAACCAGGCAACAGTTTTCTCATTACATTTACGATTGCAGAAGAGTATATTGATTTTGTTTTTGAAATGCAGCAAGGCGATGCAGCTTTCCTTATAGCAGAAGGTGTCGATTTTTTCAAAGTTAATGAAAAAGTTGTCGACCTGAAAAGTAAGATCTTGTTACACACTATGAATTGTGTACATGATATACGTATAATTTGTGGATATCTGTATGCCATCTGTTCCCAATATCAAAATGTCCTTGGTTACTTGTAAAGCTGATAAAAGAAAGATTACATTTGATGATTGTAAAAAAGTACTCGTTGTATAATAATCCATTGATGTTGGTTAAGGGGGAAAGTATATTGACATAAAATAATAAGTTGGATACAAGTATGTTTATTTAAGTAAGTCTCTAACGAGGCTTTGATTTATTTACGATACATTCGCGATATATTTTAATTGGCCATTTCGTTAATATAAACGTAGTTTATCGATGTGCAATCATTATATTCATATCATTAGTTCTAAAGATACATAGAAAAATATTATCATCTTAGGAAAACAGAAATCGGAATGTATACAGATTATCGGCAAACAGGATGTACATATATATATATACATACATGCAAACAAGTCTAAATTGAAAACAACGTTCAAACCTATGATTGCGTTGAATAAAAACCGCAATTTTTATTCGTGTGCATGCAAAACAAATTTCTTGGTACAGGGGTCTAAATACAGCACAAACAACATTTTCCAAAAGACCAAAAAAGGAAACTTTTTTTGGTCTTTTGGAAAATATATATATATACATGTACATACATCGGTATCGTTCCTCAAATATTTCATCTGTACTGAGACATAAGTATTATGCCAGTTACAATTAAAACAGTATGTAGACATTCATTTTATATTGTTTTACATTAAGTATTTGGTACAAATTCAAACATTTAGAAAATATATATTTTTAGATCATGTCTTCGCCAATTTCATGAAATATTCAGTAATCATCTGAAAAATGTTTAGTTTTGTCTTATCGTCACCTTCATAAATGGGATTTTCAAGACGTCTTTCCCAAACTGCAATACGAGACACTGATCAACTCATGAATTCGTTATTTTGACAAACCAATGAAATTATAAAAAAACAAACACTTTTAATTTCAGTTATGTAAATTTCATGACATTCGGTTAAGAAATGAGTTAAACGTATTTTAGAGAGTATGCAAAATTGTGGAGTTCCTAGGTCATGCAGTTTTACAATAAGAACTAACAAACTTACTAGAGTCCAGTTGTATTTTAGTTCAACGTTATCAAATATTTTCATTTAGCAATGTCGTGATTTTTTCCTCAGTCAAACATAGTTTTTGTAAGCCAAATATCTCAATTTTGAAACGTGCAACAGTTAAACTAACACAAAAAGCATAACGATAAAAGAATATCAATAGTAAAAAGAAATAAAGTGATGATTGACAAAATAAAAAGTGACAAATTGACATATAAAATACATTCTACATTGTTCTACATGAATACAATTATTCGTGTTCATTGTTTTATAAAACTTTCAAGCTCCTATAGGATGGTAGTTAGATTCGCCATATGGAACAATAAGGGGAATATCCTGAACATATCTTGTTATAATTAAATCGAAGCAAACTCATGTAATGCAACAATACCAATTTATGCCACAGTGACTTCACTTTTGTTGAAATGAAACAGACTACATCTCAAAAACTTTTGCTTCACTCAATTTTTCTTCTGATCATCCTAGGCCTGTACTGTTCTATTTATGTATATGTTCCAGACCATATGAGTATTTGACCGTACGCGTACGGTCTGGACCGTATGCGTACTTTTTCAAAATACGCATACGGTCGGACTGTACGCGTACGGTCTGACTAATTTTAAGAAGTTGGTCAAGTTTATTAGATACAAATGTATATTACAGATCAACATAACTGAAATCTCGAATTGATATAAAAAGTTCAATTGTAAATGAAATAAAGACTTAATATTTTAACTATTTAAAAAATCACGTTAATTTAATCTGTTAATCTCCTGAATTTAGCATGTCAGTAATACATGCAATTTAATTATGCTCACTGAAATTGAAGTTATCGGAAGTAAACATAATGTTGGAAGAAATGTTTTTAGAATATTTAGGAACTTTCCTACAAAAACCGTCAAAGATACTGGACAGAAATTATAAAAACAATGTGTTGAAAATACAGTGAGAAATTATAATAAAAACATGTCGAAAACTAATGCAAAGATTTAAATAGTATCTTTGTTACTCTAAGAATACCAGTTGTTGATAGGATCTTCCCCGATTATTATGTAGGGTTGATGATAAAATTGGTAAAGATGCAAGTTTATACAAACTATCATGTGAATTTGGCATATTAAACTCTTGTTATGATATGGGTGATATAAAACTTTTGACACGCAATATTGAAACTGCACATTGGAAAACAGAAGGATTTTCATTGCATCGGCTGCCGCAAAACAAGCAAGATTTCTCTTGCTGACAAGAGATGCAAATGTAAAGGAACATGCATGAACAAAACATGTAAATGTAAAAAATCTGACGTTCCTTGTGGCAGCAAGTGTCACCCTGGGTGAGAGTGCCAAAATAGGATTCAGATGGATTCAGATAGACAATTAAATAGGTATTAATTTCAATTGATTGAATGTTCACTTATTCACTTTATTCATCTAATCGTAATGATATTATTTTGTAAAACTCAATAAAGATTTTGATAAATGTTTGTCTAAAACTAACCCATATGGTCCAAATACATATATGGTCCAGCTCGTACTAGTCCGTATGAGTATACGCATATGGTCCGACCGTACGCGTATAGTCGGACCGTACGCGTACGGTCCAAATACTCATATGGTCTGGAACATATATATTATGTCAAATTCACAATTTAAATACCGTTCATATTTACATTTTCTAACTTCATCTTCCTTAATCTGAAACATAATAAACATTAACAAAACAATTGCTATGTTCTAATGCTCATTATAAACTTTTGTATTAATAAATAACCAATAACATTTGCTGTTGATAGTGGTAGTTAGTGTTTAAGAGTCAGTTTGTTTCTATTGTAAGTTATCTACTATGTATTCGACGATACCACATAATCTAATCAAATAGAAACTTTCCTATTTTGCCAGACCTACAGAAAGAACAATCTACAGAAGACGTGCTGGCAATTAAGCATGAAATGCAGTCATTTGCAAAGCGAATTCAAAACTTGGAATCAGATTTAGATGATGCACAGGCACAAATGATTAAAGTGGAAAGAGAAAGGAAGATGTATAAAACAGAAAATTCAATATTCAAACAAACTTGTAAGACAAATGCATTCATAGCAACTATGGTGCAAGCATTGTGGTATTATGTGCTTTTTCTAAAAATCTTCAAACCATTTGAAAGACTTTCTACGAAGGCTGCATGTGTTTATTTTCATGTTATGCTTAAGGAAACGCAAAGACTGAATTACGATTCAAATGTTCTAAGAGCATTGATAGAAGCTAATGCAATGATGATAAAAGCGAAAGTTTCAGAAGATATGTGTATTCGCCTTTCAAAGTATAACATTCAATTACAAGCAATGGCGTCAAAGATTAATTTCTTGGAATATGAAAAAGAAAAACTTGCGTTTTACCTGAATATTGGAGAGAATGCTCCTATTTTGTCTCAAAGAGAAGAATTTTGGTTGCGAACACTAGAAAGGTCTTTTATTCCAGCAGGAATGCCGATATCTGGTGTCATTTCTGGTAATAGTTGATCAGATTACTTTATTCGTTTTCATATATTAAACTGATTTTAATTTAATCTAAAAGTAGGTTTTTTTAGCGTAATTTAGCTTAAATTTACTGAACACGAATTGGTATTGGATGTTTTAAAAATGCATTACTCTTACATTGAATGATATCCATATATGAATATGTGTTAAGATTTCAATGATAAAGTAATGATATACTAAAGAGGTAGTCAAAATTTAAGATTCGTAGAAATACGGCAAACACAACTACCAAACAAATGACGAGAACACAAACAGTTCATACAAATGTACACATAAAACAAACGATTGAGCAACACAAATAGCTAGTTGCTCCAAAATAGTAAGCAGTTATTGATCCACAGATAGCACCCGTCTTGTCGTCCACAACATTATTTGATTAGTATAAGAACAAGATATACAGCATTAATTTCGATTACATTAAAACACGTTTAACCATATCATTCAAAATGCGGAAATGTACCTTATCTGAATTTGAAAGTTTTAGTCATCAAAGGATTAAAGCTGACGAAAATGTGACAATTGTGACAAAAATGAAAATAAAACATTCACAAAGGAAATCAACAGTGCTACCTCGAATATTGATACATGAAGTATAAATATGTATTGATTTGTTATAAGAAAGTACGCGTATTGTGTTTGAAAAGATATATTTAGGTTTCTTTTGCATTGGTACATTTGTACTTTTTTTTAAATGTAGCTGTTTTGTTTCTTACAGTGTTGAACAGACACTCTTCACAAACATACATTTAACCAAAATAGAGTTCATATAACGCCATTTTATATTGTTTTCTCAGCATGATTGTTTAATCCATTGATTTTCCTATTTCAAATTTCTAGCAACAATTGGAATTTCCGATCCAGATCTTCAAATTATATTGACCAAATTGTCTAAAGAACTAACGAAAAAAGAAAGGAATAAATTGCTACAAGGCTTGCCAGATGGGGAAAAGAGAAGAATAGAAAAAACGCCAAATGCCTTATTACAGGCACTATGGGAAAAAGAAAAAAGAAGGTCAAAGGGTCAAACAAAGTTAGGTGAGTTTTTTACTTATGCAAGAAAGAAAATTGTCTTTTGTGTTTTGAAAGGCAATATTGAAAACTATATTTATTTGTTATCCTCCAACTTGTTAAAATTTAAGACTTTTACTTTGAGTAATGCTGCTTATAGGATCTCTTACCGTTTTGAAAGACTAGACTTGTAGAAAATTCCTAAAGGTATAACAAATTATAAATGAAACCGGAACAAGGATAAGGATATTCTGCTGACATGCAATATCCTTCGTATTATCAAATTTTCAAAGTCGATAATCAAAACAATCTAGAAAATAGTCATATGAAGACCATTCCACTGTATCAAAGTAGGTTACTAACGAAAATCACAAAAGCATCATTAAACATATTTTATGCTTTTGAAATGGAATAACAATATGCTATATATTTAAAGAGTAGGAGTATAGTATAATTGCAACTGCTGACAAATCAGGGTTATCTTTCTTCTTACAAACGAATATGTTACAACTGTCCCGAATCAGAATATCTTTGTATAGATAATATATAACATAACGAGTATGATAGAACATTTATTGTTTCAGAACTGTTCTAAATATCTACCTGAATGGAATATATGAAAGGTGCATTTCCATGAAATGTATTATGATTTTAAGTCTCTCGTTTACATATCGGAGTTTAATATAATAGAGGACGCACATTTGATTTGTTGGTAAAAAGGGCTGGTTGAATTCACTTTCGACTATGTAAATAACTTTTCTGACAGCGATGTGATATTGATGACGGACAAAATATCAAACTTTGGTAAACACACGAAAGACTGGTATGGATATAATATCTTAAACATTTCTCCGTTCCAAGTTGACAGTTTTATTCACAAGTTAACATATTCCAGTTCGAAGTTGACATTTCTTACTTCCAAATTGACATTTCTCACTCACAACTTGGCATTTCTCAGTTCCAACATGGAAATAAGTAAAGTGAGAAATGACAACTTGGAAATGAGATATGTCAAGTTTGAAAAGAAAAATGTTCACAACAGAATGTCCCTACTGGTTTTTCGTATGAAAAATATCGTTTACGATCGCGAAAGTCAAGCAATCGGATATCTTCTCCCTGCAAATTGTTTTGTTTGGTCAGTAATTTTTGTATCAAAACAATAATTCAATATTTTACATTCTGAAATTTTTTAAATACAACTTGAGAAATTTCAACTTCAATACGTCTTTTGATGTTTTAAGAATCCCGAGTTTATTCATTCATCAATTCTCTCACGATCTTGATGTATTGCTATAAAGACGAATGTTTAAAGTTTTGATAGAGGCTTAGTGATATTTTTAGCAAACCAAGAGTCTTACTATTTTTTTCAAATATAACTTTGTTTATGGTTAACACTTTTGAAATTGGTTGAACCTCATTTATTAATCAATTTATTTGTAAAATATTATTGCTATACTGTCTTCGGATTAGCTGTTTGGAAATTAAAAAAAATCACTTCAAATATATTTTAGTAATATATCCCGATAAGCAATCATTTAAACTCAATATTGCAAAGAACAATTGTGCCCAATTTTTGTGATAGAAATATTTGTCGTGTTTAAAATAAAGCTTATGGTAAATGTGAGTATGTATTCATTACATTGTGATAATTTTCCCTAAAATGTTTTTATTTTCTTTTTTCTGATTTTAAACATTCTTTATTATTGTATTTTGTATGAAGATATATGGTTTCATGCTATTATGAAAGATATCAACAGACAAGATTTAAACAATCCATTCCTTGAGATGGTTCAATCAACCATGATTCAGGGACCCAGTGAAGACAAAAAACCCAAGATGTCGTCCAGTTCTTCAAGATCTTCTGGACTTCATAAGAGTCTTGGAAGAAGAAAACGCCGTAGATTCAATAGCGGTCCTGGCACGTCTGGAATAATTCACACTGATTCTGATCAGTCATCTGGATTTTGTGAAATGGAACAAGAAGGAGAAAGCAGCTTCACTCAATTCCAGATTCTAAATAAACAGATGCATAAAATGCAGACCGCATTAGAAACTTTAACAATGAGGTCTAAAGAAGAGTATCAATTTTCACCTTTTACAAAAGATACAGAAAGTGCATTCTCCTCGATTCCTTCATACATTTCTAAACCTAAAACATAAGTTGTCATCGTGCTTTTTATGTCATAGCTTATGTACACTGTTACAATTACTATACATAACTATTTGGAACAAGGTTGGCACATTATTTTGATTAAATCAGTTGTCCTTGATACAAAAAAAAGTTTTAAATTTTCACATATTGATTTTCCATCAGATTTTATTACATAATAAACATACTGATTTAGTTTCTGCTTTTTTAGTAAACAGGTCTATTTCGTTTTATTTAAATTTGAATGTAGAATTTGAGATTATACTGTTTATGCGCTTATTAAGCATATGTGCATTTTTGTTAAACTATTATATTCAGAAATCATTAAACAAAAGTTGTGTTTCTTATTTGACGTCCATTATAATTTGTAGAAGTGGTAATTCCAGATCCTGACTTTATTTCAAAGGTGTAAAAAAGAGGCCAAAGATACAACGGGACATTCAAATTCATAAGTCGAAAATAAACTGACAACGACAGGCAAAAAAGAAAAAAGACCAAAAATAACCAAATAACCGTACACAAAACACAACATGCAAAACTAAATACTTAGCAATATGAAGTCCACCAAAAACCGTGGGTGATCTCAGGTTCTCCGGAAAGGGTAAGCAGCTCCTGCTCCACATTTGGCACCCGTCGCGTTGCTCGTGTAAGTACAAATCCGGCAACTAGTCTTATTTGGTAGGTCACATTTGGGGTAAAAAGGATTGGATTGTGGTTGCGACAATTCGAACATATCGTCGTCATCTGTGAAAAAATATGTTATACTGGTCAACCAACTCGTGATGGCGTCCGTACAATTTATGAAGAGATGTTTTCATCTTCACCACTTGGAACTCTTTGTTTAATAGCTTCCTTGTGAGCAGCAACCCTATATCAAGGAAATAATATAGGAAATACAAGCAATGGAATGTCGTCTCAACTGGGAGGTTTACACTTCGTATGCAGGCACTGCTTGAATGTTGCTACTTAAAAATGAGAGTTTACTATTGGGAAGCTGAAATCTTCTCTTCTGTCATAACGTTTCGTTTTTAACCAACTCTCATGGTCAATTTCTAGATGTAAGTCAAGATATGAGGCAGACTTAACTGTATCTGTTGTATCCTTTATCTCAGGTTCGGTTGGATCGATGCGTTCAACATAGTAAACAAACTTTGAATTAATTAGTGTGCGAGAACATAATCTAAATAGCGAAAAGTGAAGTTAAATGAAAATGCTAACTTCTTATCTTAATTCCTAAGAAGCTCCGGTATGAAGTCAGCCACAAGGGAATGCATATGTTGAAAAACACGTCCTCCAAACGTAACAAATATGTTGTCGATTTATCTCTCCATAAGACAAGATAATGGTATCTACGTTGGCCATTCTTTTTTTACAAAACAAAGCAGGACCAACTCGTTCAATTTGTCTTATAGTTTGCAATGGGGAATACTTGTGTTGATTAACTCATCATAGTATCCGGATGAAAATTGTATACGCCAGAAGCGCGTTTCATCAGTGATGCTCGAATAAAAAAAGTTTAAAGGCTAAATAAAAGTATGGTCAAATACAGCTAAAGTTATAAAGAAGAAAAGTCAAACGTTTTAATACTACTGCAAGAAAGAGTCTTACAGTGTGTGTACTTTAAGAGATCTTTGGAATTTTTTGGTGTCAACATTTGAATAACGCCACCTCTAGAAAAGGTAGTTTCACAATAAATTTGAAGCCCGGCTTTGATTGCTAATACAATTGATGTTAATAATTTAAAAAGAGGTTTCGTGGAAGACCCAGCAATATAACGTTGTTTGTAACGACACTTATGTCATTATGTATCCAATACAGTGAAGGAATATCCAGTTACTCATCTTTGGTTGAAATTCCTAAGGAAAGATGAACAGACAGGAGTCTGTTGTTCAGTGGTAGTCGTTTGTAGATGTGGTTCATAAGAGTTTCTAGTTTCTCGTTTTTTATATAAATCAGACAGTTGGTTTTCCTGTTTGAATTGTTAAACACCGGTCAATTTGGGGCCCTTTATAGCATGCTGTTCGGTGTGAGCCAAGGCTTCGTGTTGAAGGCCGTGCTTTGACCTATAATTGTTTACTTTTTACACATTGTGACTTGGATGGAGAGTTGTCTCATTGGCACTCATACCACATCTTCCTATTTATATATATGATTATCCGGACGTTCCTTCTTTGTAAAAGAGGGGCGAAAGATACCAGAGGGACATTCAAACTCATATGTCGAAAATAAACAGACAACGACATGGCTAAAAAAGAAAAAGACAAATAGACAAACAATAGTACACAAAACACAACATAGAAAACTAAATTGTAAGTGTCGTGAGGGTATATATTAAGTTTCCAAGTGAATTGTCAATACTTAATTAATGTATCAATCCGTTTACGTAATGTTATTAACACCAAAAAACGATGTTGTTTAAGGGTTTTATCTTTAGGAACAAAAATATATTTGTCATGGAGGTAGGAATGATGTTGTGCAATATTTTAATATTTAAAGATGTAGCATGTGTATTCATAGGCCCATTCAGCTTATTTAATTCTGATTTGTATCAACAACCTCACAGCAATCCATTCTGAAAAGTATCTATGGCTTCTTTCTCGCGTTTAACACATTGTCAGTGGCATAATGTGCGACTGAATTCATCAGTATTTTGAAGTTGTGTTTCCAATAGATGGATTTAGGATCAACAAATTTCGGTCCTTTGGATAACACATTTCGCAAGTGTAATAGCCGGATTATATATGAATGGGGATCTAGCACAGGAGCAATCAGGGGTTAAGAATTGAAGTCGTCAATATTGAGATCCTACAACACGTGCTTAAATGAAAATTTTAGTTGCCAATAGTTTGGTATAGGTATAAGAAATGAAAGGAACAGACTGATGTTTGAAATAGGGAGGTATTTTCGAGTGAATTGATTTGTGGTGAAGGATATTGCCTAAGTTGATGGCATCGAGACCTTTTGTTGGCAAATGAAAGTTTTAAATAATGATCTTTTCTCCTTGTTACCTTTTCTAATGCGAACTGGTTTGAAAAAAAGTCCTGTGACTTTGTATTGGTTTGAATGGGGATATGTAACAGTGTTTTCCAAACATAATATAAGTCGTACAGAGATTGAAGTTTTGAAAGGGGTACTGAATAAAACTTCGTGCAAATACTCAACAGCTTTTGTAATAAGGGTAGCAATTAATTAATAGAGACATCATAAAGCGTAGGTAATGTTTAATGACGATGATCATGACTTCGTCTACGTCGAGGAGTAGAGTTGAAAATGTTCATCACATTCACCGAGCTATAGGAAGGACTAGATAGAAAACATATATCATCAATTTTGTCAACCATATGGTGTCACAGTTCCCAATTGTCGAATCCATTAGTCTTCCTTATGTGTACGGAGAGGTGTTGCAAGATGAGGATTGTTAGTCCTGATGTAAAGTTTTTCGATGATGTGAACTTGCATAGAAAATATTGAATGATCAGGTTGAATAAAATGCTGGTAAACAATGTCGCTTGCTATGGAAATTATGGAAGCAAAGTTTACACTATAATCCGTAGACGAGATTTGTTGATTTACAACTCAGATCATCATAGCTTCTAGTAAAGTAAGATTTGTTTAATCAAATTGATGTACTCAAGCATTTAAGAACCTCTTGCAAAATCGCTGTATTAAAGAAAAAAATAAGGTATAAGTGTTGTGTTTTTAATGGAATATTTAGTTTTGTATATTTTCAAAAATTAGAATGTAAAAGTTATTGTTTTTTTAAGGATATGACTTTTATATTCATCTAGATTATTTAGATCCCCATGTATTTCTCCATTGTTCCTAACCTAACATAACGTTTTGTATGAAGCTATGAGCATACAGAGTGATACGTTGTAGTCAGATATCAAACAATCAAAAAGCTTTCTTAAGAAATCCGATAAATTCATGTTAAAGATTTGAACATCCTGTTCATTTTGCATACCTATTGAAAGCTTTTTTTAAACATTATAAAATGATCTCACTAACATTACACATCAAATATACTATATAATACTATATAATTATTTCTCTATCCTAAATGGATTTATACTTCACGTCATTTTTTTAATAAATAACTTAATTGATTCATTTTTTGCAGAATAGAACTAGCTAGAAATTCAAATGCGATATGGAGAGGAAAATGATGATGCAAACATATAATTTATAGATAGCATATATTACTGATATAATATGATATTTCTTTATCAGAAGGAATCTATCTCTTTATAAACATAATTATAGATCATGTGATAAAATAATTGTAGGACATTAGTTAAACTAATATGTTCAATATGGTTCCGTACATGAACCATGTATTTTGTATATAAACAAAAATGACAGTAATTGTGTGAAGATGAGGAAGGAATCCGTGGACTTTGGGTTTCGCATCCTGAACATTCTGTGCTCCTTACATAGAAACTCCTAACACAGAGAAATCAGGAAGAAATATTTAAAACATTCAATGCTACATAATTGTTACGGTCACCATCATTAATTGGTTGACCGATAGGTTATATCTGTGCCTCAACTCACTAGCGATATGTTTTCGCCTTAAGGTACCAAAAAGTTCGTCTAATCTGCAACTTTACCGATTTCATCCTATTTCTGAGTGTGGATCTGCATGGTGGTTGATCCATGCACATCAGGCGACGCTTACTTTGTCGCCGCACCCGGTCTAGCTCATTTTGAATATAAAAATAAGGAGATGTGGTATGATTGCCAATGAGACAACTATCCACCAAAGTTCAAATGAAGTGAATGTAAGCAATTATAGGCAACCGCACGGCCTTCAACAATGAGAAAACCCCATACCGTATAGTAGGCTATAAAAGGCCCCGACATGAAAAATATGAAACAATTCAATTGAGGAAACTAACGGTCTAATTAATAAAAAAAACAATTTATGGTTCATCCAATTCCTTCAGATATTGTTTGTGTTACCTTTATTTGTCTCGAAATCGATTTGTGAGATCTATAATCGGTAAAAAATTATTGTGACACTTTTGAGATTCAATGGAATTCGGTGGCTAAGTCCACTATGTTATGTCATGTAGCTACTTCAATAATATAAGAAAAAATCTGTTTCCCAAATTTCGTCATAAAAATGAAAACATTTATAAATTTGAACAATTGGG